TCTTTGTGCCCACTCTCCACCCCTAGAACACCAGCCTCATCAACCAGAAAAAGAAGATGGAGTCAGACCTGTCCCAGCTCCAGACTGAAGTAGAGGAGGCAGTGCAAGAGTGCAGGAACGCTGAGGAGAAGGCCAAGAAGGCCATCACGGACGTGAGTCTCCCTCTTCCCTCCTTCACTCCAGACACAAATGCGCTGTTATGACCATCTGACTCTGCAGTTCTGCGGTTTGAGAGCGGAGATCCTTGGGAGGGAAGAGGCCCAGGGCCGGGACTCAAGACCTTCATCCCGTCTCCTGTGCACAGGCCGCCATGATGGCGGAGGAGCTGAAGAAGGAGCAGGACACGAGCGCCCACCTGGAGCGCATGAAGAAGAACATGGAGCAGACCATTAAGGACCTGCAGCACCGGCTGGACGAGGCTGAGCAGATCGCCCTCAAGGGTGGCAAGAAGCAGCTGCAGAAGCTGGAGGCCACGCACTGCCATGCGGGGTGGGGGCTGTGGCTCTGGCCCTTGCATGGTGGCCTGAAGCCGCAGTGACGAGCACCGGAGAGAACTGAAGTGTTTGCTCTTGTCTCTTCTGGGGCAAGGGCTTGAGTGTAGTCCCTGTGTGCCCTGTTGTCCTCTGCTTAGCCAGGCCCACTTAATGTCCCCTCGCTCAGAGACCGGTCTCCCAGGCTCCTGGCCTGTGTGCTCTACCTCAGCCTGCACCCTCAGCCTGTCCCCTGAGATCAGGCTCACTCAGCATAGCTCCCCAAGAAGCGCCTGTGTAGCCAGGTTCACCCCAGAAAACAACAAAGGAACACCAAAGCCATTCAGACAAATCTCAGCACTTCTCAGTTGCCCAGGGCAGGTTAGGCTCCAGATTTCTGTGGTATTTTCTAGAGTCACACTCTCAATTAGGATTTGTTTCTATTCCAATCCAGGATGTCACTTCCCTCTAAGCACACTGTGTCCTTAACGTAGATCAAGTCCATGTCATCTCCACTGAAGCCCAGGAAATTCCATCACGCTCACTGGACCAGAGTCACTCCCAGCACATGCTGGGCTCTGGAGCCAGGGAGTTTATCTTCCCTGGGGACTCAGGACCCTCAAGGGCCTTCTCCCTGGAATGGTACACACACAATTTTGTGCACACCATTTCAGGAATCCCATCAGCTCCTTGGATTCTCTCCTGGTACCTATCATTTAAACATATTCACTTTTTTAAGGAAAGAAGTTATATAGTGAATTCAAGGGTTTAGTGAAGATCACAGAATAGGATTTTTTTTTAGATATCACTTTCAGTGTAAAGAAGACAAAATCTGGGGTGCAGGTGCTGTCCCCTGTGACTGTACCATCTCTCCCTCCTGCCCCACAGACTGAGGAGGACAGGAAGAACCTGCTGCGGCTGCAGGACCTGGTGGACAAACTGCAGCTGAAGGTCAAGGCCTACAAGCGCCAGGCGGAGGAGGCGGTGAGCGACCCTGCTAGGGTCAAGGCCTACAGGAGGGACAGGAGGAAACCGGTGCCCCCGGCTAGAAGACTGCCAGCTAAGGCCCTTTCTCACCCATCCTCCCCACTGTCCACAGGAGGAGCAGGCCAACACCAACCTGTCCAAGTTCCGCAAGGTGCAGCATGAGCTCGATGAGGCGGAGGAGCGGGCAGACATTGCTGAGTCCCAAGTCAACAAGCTGCGGGCCAAGAGCCGCGACATTGGCACCAAGGTAGTAGTCACCCCCACAGTGGGCACATTTCCTCTCTCAGCCTCAGGCAGAGCAGCCCCACACCAGGCATGCCTCCTCTTGCTGGATTTCCCCAAGTGAGGCCAAGGAAATTGAGTTCCCTGTGATTTCTAAGCTTCTCCGTGCCCCAACGCACACTGATTCTGTGACTCCCAGCCCTAGGGTGGTCAGCAACTCTACAAGACCCCGATTGACATATACCCAATGTATTCCAGTATGTACACCGATCCCACCAAGGGGCTGGTATCAGGCCTCACAAAAGGCCGCTGCCCATCCAGTGCCCTGGTCTCACCTTTGTTTTCTACACCCCTTCCTTCTAACACCTGCCTCTTCAGAGCTAATTTGAACTTTATTTCCTTTCAAAAGGGCTTGAATGAGGAGTAGCTTTGCCACATCTTGATCTGCCCAGTCCTGAGCGTGCCAACGAAGCCCCTAGACCCGGCGCCTGTGTAACGGCCCCCAGGAAGAAACAGAATAAAGCAGTTGTCTTTGAAACTGAGACTTGCCTCGATTCTTCACTGCCTACTGGCCATGGGCCCAGGGGTGGGGTTAGGGATGGGCCCCGAAAGTGGGGAGGTGAGAACTCCAGAGAAAAGGCAGCTTCAAAGGCCAGGCTAGGCTCAGACCCCTCCTAGGAGCAGCCCTGGCCTGTGGACCCCCCTCCACTCACTCCAGCCAAATCCAACGAAGAGGTGACACCTCTTTTCCCAGCCCTCTCTCTGGCCTGACAGCCCTGAGGGGTGAAAAGGAGACTTAGGGGAACCCCTAAATTTCCTGAGAGCACCTATAGTCCTGCAGTCCAGCTCTGATAACACTGTCTCCCAGTGGTAACACTGGGCTGGAGCCATGGGAGGTTTGGCGTACAAGGGCTGACCAGTGCCCTTGCAGAGGTGTGACCTCTGCTGGAGGTAATGGTCCCCTAGGCCCTCCCCACACAAGCCACTGAGGGGACACTAGGATCACAGCTGTCGTTCACACACCCTTCCAGAAACAGCCAACCTCCAAGACCTACCCCTCTCCACACCCAGCCAGGAGGAAAGCACCCATAGCCCCCCATCCTTCCTTCTTCCTCTCTTCTCAAGGCTCAGTGCCTTGGTGCAGGGTACCCAACTGGTCTCTCTTTTTTCCACTATAACTTGCATGCACAAGGCCTCTCCTCTGTGGTTGCTGGAAGATGGCACTCTTTGGCCCTGTATGGCAAGCTATCTCAAGGCAAGCCAGTGGAGGAAAGACTCAAGAGGGCAGAGGGTGGCGAGACTCCAGACAGGAGGAGTGGGTCAGGCTGGGAGGTGGAGGAAGGGCAAGTTCCTCTTAAGTAAGCCCAGCCCCTTTGAAGTTGCTGTCGCAGCTGGGCTGCTTAGAGTAGGGCTGACACCGAGGGCCTAGAAGGCAATGGGTCTCACAGCCCACTCTGGGAATCTGGTGCAGCCCAGTACTGAATCACTCCTCAGCACCCCCTCCCCACCCCATGTACAGCTCTCCACAGCCCTCGCTGGGCTCTGAACTCTGAGTGAAGCAGACAGAGCAAGGGCCTGAGGCTGGGCAAGTGGTGATGCCAGGGTTGAAAATAGCCATGTGAGGGGAGAGCAAAGAAAGGGAATTCAGAAGGGAAAAGGAAAGACTTGTGGGCAGGTGTGCAACAGAGAGAGAGAGAGAGAGAGAGAGAGAGAGAGAGAGAGAGAGAGAGAGGGAGGGGCGATAATAGAGACAAAGAAAGAAATACTGAACATGAGGAGGCCTCAGAAAGAGCCCGGGCCCTCCCAGCTTCCACCTCACGCCCTCCTTCCTTCTCCCTCCCTAGGACCAGTCCTCTGCCTAGAAACAGACTTGGAGAGCAATGAAGAGATGAGTAGAGAAGAGAGAGGAGACACTGAAGAGGGAGATGTGCAGAGAAGCCCAGGGAATCCAAGCAACCAGAGCCTAAGAAAGCAAGAGCTATGGTTGCTGCAAAGCCAGCAGGGGCTGGGTACAGATGGCAAGGCTGAGCCTCCTGGGGAAAGAAAACACTGGTGAGGACAGGGAGAAGAGGGAATGGGAGGAAGCCTCAGACAGAGAAGTTCAAAGAGCTGAGGGAGCTAACACTGGCCAAAGGGAAGAACCTTGGGTCACCTTCAGATGCAGGAGTCAGGAAAGCCAAGGAGCAAGGCAGCCAGAGAGAGGTGGCTGAGGAACACAGAGCAAGATGTAGATAGAGGTAGAGGCAAGCCAGGCTGAAAGCTCCAAAAGTTTGTTTTAAAGAAGGCAGAGCCTCATGTCGGTCCCTGCCATAGGTGAAGACATGGGCCCAGGAGAATCAGAGGCCAGGTCTGACTTTAAGATGGGCAGCCAGGCAGAGGATAAGGAAGGTCAGATGCAGGGACAGACAAAAACACTGGGAACCAGGCAGAAAAGGGTGACCTGAGCCAAGGTGCCAGCCTCCTAATCCCCCTCACCTCTGGCCAGAGACTCCATCTTGTGCCGCACACTCCAGGACTTCTGGCAGAATGCAGGGTGAGTTTGGGAGACAGCTGAGGGAGGATGGAGAGGAGTGTGTGAGAGCCAGGGTGAAGAGGGGAGCTAGGAAAGGAAGAGGAGGGCACATCAGACCAGACAGGGGGCAGAGCCCAGAACTAAGTTAACCCGTCCTTCTTCCTCCTCCCGTAGGAGACAGCGGGAGATGCCTGCCCACCTTCACCCCCCACCACCTGTACCAAGTTTGGCCTGCTCAGTACACTGGGCTCCCTGAGGACAGAGCCTGGTGTTTGTCACCTAGACCTGACCCAGCCTGAACTGGTGTTCTCAGCCCCTTATCATGTCCCAAGGCAATGGGAACCAGGCAGTGACGCCTGGTCATGGGCTAACCCCCCAGCTTTCGTGTTGGGACCTTGAATGACCTAGAGCTGGGAACAAGTGTTCTGCATCCCCTAGGGGTAATGGTTTGGCATGGACACCTACAGGAGACGAGGATGTGGGGTCAACTCAGGTCCCTTTAGAGACATCGCATATAGGGTACAACTCCCTGGAGGAGATGTGTATTCTTGAGCTCCATGTGGAGCAAAGAAATGTTCTAGGGGTTGATGACCTTTCAGGGAAGCCACGTCTTTAATGGACAGTGCCCCTACCAAAAGGCTGACCCCTGTCTGTCCTGCCCACCTCCACACCCCAGATCTATATTGAGAGGTGACAGTGGACGGGGTGGGAGGGGGAGCTGAAAGAGTGTTCCTGGGCGTGAGGGTGTATGGGAAAGCCAGAGCAGGGGAGTCTGGCTTTGTTTCCTGAACACAGTGTCCACTTAGTCACAACAGGCATGGCCTGCTGAAGACCCAATACCTGCGGCCTCTGAGAGGGGGCAACACTGGAGGATGGGGAGGATGTCTCAAGGGCCTGGGCACATGGGACGCCATGAAGAAGGGCATGTGAGTATGAGCCCCAGCAGGGCTGGAATGGCACATCAGTGTTCTACCTGGGGAGGGGGCAGGCAGCAGAGCCCTGCCCCGTGGAATGCACAGCCTGGGGCCCGGCTGGTGTAAATCCCCAGCCCTGCTTGCGCCCCAGCCATCCTCAGCAGCACCTGTATCCTTTGGCAACCCAGAGAGGCAGAAGAGGGCAGCCTCTCTCCGGCCCTGGGATTAACGCCTCTCCACAACCTCCCCCCACCCACACCACGAGTGGAACGTGGCAGTGGGAGGTAAAAATCTATGTGTGGAAGTGGGGGTGTACAAATGTGCATGTCAGTGTGGGCAAAAGCAAGTGGGAACTTCAGCAAGCTTAAGTAAGTTGGGTAAATGAAAAATCTGCATGTCTCTGTGTGGCACATGCCTGGTGACCCAGGGAAGAGACCAGGCACAAGATGTATGCAGAGCGAGGATAAGGTAGAAATTCTTTCCTAATAAAAGGAAACTGAGTCATGGAGCTGAAGAATGCATGCCCTCACTGGGCATTCTGGCTCCAGTCCCCAGGCCCCAGCGCTGAGGGACTCTGGGTCTGAGGGCAGAGATGTATATGAGGACAGCCAGTGTGGGAGGAGACAGTAAGAACCAGGCAAGGGAGCAAGTGGTTGTGGGGCAGACTTGACAAGCTTTTGGCCGCAGGAGAAGGTGACCCTCACCCAATGTGCTCAACTCACCCTTCAGATTAAAAATAACAGAGGTAAGCGCCATGGCGGGGCAAGGGAGGTGGTGCGAGAAAGTCCTGTCTTCCCACTATCTGCCCATCAGCCTTTGGAGGGGAGGAATGTGCCCAAGGACTAAAAAAAGGCCCTGCAGCCAGAGGGGCCAGGGCTACAGACCTTTCATGGGCAAACCTGGGGGCTCTGCTGTCCTCCTGTCACCTCCAGAGCCAAGGGATCAGAGAGGTGGAGTCAGGAGGGGTAAGAGGTTGGGGGGAGGGTCCCACCGGAAGGACACCAAATTTAGGCAGCTGGGTGGGGGGAGTGAGATATAAAGGAGCTGGAGCTTTGGAAGACAGATGAGACTCCTCCAGCCCAGGTAAGAGAGAGTTTGGGGTGGAGGTTCTGCAGCCAGTCCAAGCAGCCCTCACCTTAGGGGAACTTGCCTCCCTTGGAAATGGGGTGCAGGTCAATCAGAGGCTTCCAGAGCTGCCTTCCTACCCCGGGAAGTGACTGTTGGGAGCACCCAATACTTTTTTTCAGACTCTTCCTTTCTCTACCTGCACTAGTCTGTATCTTTTGGGGGGTGAGGGGGTGGGGAGTACCAGGGATCAAACTGGGGACCTCGGGCTTGAGAAGCAGGCAGTGGAACCACTGAGCTAAATTCCCCACCCTAGTCTGTGTCTTCTTGCACACTGCCTTCTTCTTCCTCCTCCGTTTGGATGCCTCCTTCCCTTTTTCTTGGTTTTTCTCTTGCCTCTTGATCTGTCAATGCTTGCCCCGACCACTTTCTCTGCCTGTCTTTCTCCCTGGTCATTCCTTTTGGTGTGTGTTCTGATCTCCCTGCCTATTTCTCATTGTGTCCACACCCTTTCCCAGCCTTCCCACTCTTACTAGCTCTGCATCTTTTTTTCCTTTTTTTTTTTTTTTTTTTTTTTTGGCC